AATCATTTATTAAATTAAAAAGACATGTATAATAGTTTATAGATAATCAACTCAACCAGGTTGGTTTTCAAAAATAGAATTATATAGTAGTGCTATCTGCCATAGTTGCAGTAAATAAATCAGTACTGGATTAAAGTACTATTGGTATAAAAATTTTGACTCTGCCTGTATTGCCTGTATTGCGTATTTGCATATCATATTTAACATAGGTGGTGCCACTGAGTGATCCATATTTTTGAAGGCCTTCCTGGTAGAGTTTAGAAAACCAGAGTTAAAAGAATTTGTTTAATTGTCACACATCATAGTGAAGAAGATGTATCTGAAATTATTTCAATATACTATGCATGACAACTAAAACCTTCTTTTTAATCCTAATTAGTGATTTGCACCTATATACTAAAATTTTTGTCACCAATTAAATGCAGAAAGAACTAAAAAAAAATGAAAATGCACACAAAGCTACAAATTAAATAAAACTTTATTACATTATTAATAGCATAATATTCGCATAGTTGTCTGGAAGACATATTTCTTCTGTCCTTTATAAACGATGCTAGTACGTCATAAGCATGGCGTAGAACTGATGGAAAGTTTTCATCCTCATAATAATTTGGGGGAAGGTTCAGTCCATCTTTAAGGATCTCAGCTTTATAAGTATTTCTTGCTTCAACTGAATGTGGTGGTGAATAAGACCAATCCTCTACTTCTTCAAAATAAAAATTTTCTGGAAGGGTCAGGGTTGATGATCATGATCGTCTGGCAGTATTTGGAAAAAGCACTGCCATCATGGCATCGACACTATCATTAACCAAATCATTGGTCAAAAGACCAAATCAGCTTCGAAGAGTTGTGAGGGTTGTGGTACGATCTCTATGAAGATGCAATTCCAAAAAATTTAAAACTGTAGTAAGATCTTAAATAAACAGAAAAAGTTAATCAAAAATAAATTTATTAAGATAATATCAATAATTTGAAGCCTAGATTCTATAATTTTAGAATTATATAGTGACTATATTGTAACAATATCATTACAATATAGTTACTATATAATTACTAAAAAGTATGAAATCTAGATTTCTATATAATTAATTTTTTTTTATAAAATAAAAACCAGGAAG